CCAGGAAATGAAATCTTTATTACCTGTCTCCAGAGAGAAAATAATTTTTTTTTTTTTTTTTATACTTACCGAATGGCAATTAAGAAATATTCTACAAGAAGATATATTTATTACAGTAAGAATGACCTGATTTTATTTGAAATCGATAACAAAATGTATAGCGCGTACAAGAAACTTTTCTTGACATCTATATATATAGAGAGAAAATTTTTCAACAAGAAAAAAAAATTGATTTGACAAAATTTTACACACCCGGTGAAGAAAGAAAACTTTTTTTTTTTAATAATAAATTAAATGAATTTTATTAGACGAATAATTAAAAATGATAACATTGTTTTAGAGTCCAAAAAGAGGTATATATGAGCAAGGATAATGTTTTACACTTCTTTTTTCTTTTTTAACTAAAGTACTTTCCACTTGAGAATAAAGGACTTTTCGCAAATAAAACAAACTTTCCCCTAACTTATTTCACTTGGCTTAAACTGAGTGCAGATTCTGATACGACTTTATAATAAAGTTTTCCTTACCTCCACACGGATGAGTGGTCGACTAAGGAACTATATAACAACATGTAGATTAGGTCAGCATAACGTACTCGCGTGAAACTTGGGGAAAAAGGTTTCCTATAGACTTCCAACTCGCTTAACAAATTTGTAACTGACACGCGATTGCTGATTTTTTTTTTTGCCCTCTTCAAATGAGTGTAGAGAGAGAGAGAATCCAAACTAGCAAAAAAGACTTCAGTAAATATTCACAAACGACACATATATATATGTTAATAACAACGCGTGTGCAGTATATGTCATTAGAATATCCAGAGCGGTTATAAATAAGAAATATAGATATAGTTTTTAATCAATATGACCCTGTTTGGGTCCATTATATGATGGAAAAGTCGATAAAATACCCAAGTTTCTGAATATACCGCGTGGGGGGATAGGGGACTCTATAAAGAGCGGACACGAGGAAAGGAAACCCTAGTGCTTGGCACGCCAAACTTCGACCTGTAATGTCGCATAGTTGAGTTGCTTTCGGAAGCAAGAGAGAGAGAGAGAGAGAGAGAGAGAGTTATACATTAAACCAGACCCATACCTCTTCACTTCAAAGAGAATTTTACACCATCAGGAGATGAAGTACTTTGTCAAATGAATTTTTTAAAACATTATCCGATTTTCACAAAGGTGGGTGTGCGACGATTCGATTGAATTTTCACGTTTTGGGCAGGAAAGTTCGAGATTTAATGCTTTTAGAATTTTTTTTTTTTCGACCATATTTTATTCTTTTTCCACTGCACATCACTAATTTTTCATCTTTTCGTCCAATTGAATTCTAAACAGAAACTGCCACTAATATATTCCTCTTCGTTTTATAGAATTGTTAAAACAACCAAATATACCTAGAGATGCAATCCTAGTGGTCAGAATGCGGAACTAACATTGAGTTTCGTTTGCAATGTAAGCGTGGAGCAATTATCGATTTCTGATTGCCACCAACGCCAATTTAAGAAATTAATTATTATAATTGAAAACAGACGAGAAATATTATAATACATAAAATAATACCTAATAATTATATATATGATTAATACCCACTTGGAAAGATTCCTCGGAAAGTGACCCCTGGAGGTTCTATCAGAATTCCGCCGGAACTTCCAACCGGAATTTCATCGAAGTTCCAAAGAATTTCCGATGGGATTCCGACGGAATTAGGACTCTAAAATTTTGAAAAAAAAATTAATCGGAATTCCATCGGAATCCCATTGGAAATTCTTTGGAACTCCGATGGAATTCCGACGGAATTACGTTGGAAGTTCCGGCGTTATTCTGATAGAACCTCCAGGGGGCACTTTTCGGGGAATCTTTCCAAGTGGGTACTGAAATTAATTTGATTACAATTTTGCTCTGGCAACGCAATTATATATATATATTTCTTTCTATTCAGACTCGATATAAAACAAAACATTTTTTTCTCTAGGAAGGTACTTAATATTTTCTTTTTAGACTCAATATAAAGCAAAACAATTTTTACTCTTGGAATGAAACTTTATATATTTCTTTTTAGACTTGATATAAAACAAAACAAATTTTGTTTTAGAACCGCAAAAGGAAACTTTGGTTAGTGGGGACATTGGTATCTTTCCATTTTCGTGTTAAGCAGAATAGTTACGCAAATGGCGTCAAGTATGAATTAGAAAAGAATAGAAATTAATATTCCTTTCTATCGCATGCTTCTCGTTTGTCAACGCCACTTGCGAAACTATTGTCTATTAAAAAAATATATAAATTTGAATTAAATTATATTTGGAACAGTAAAATACGGTTGGGGATGTATATCAAGATGGTGCGTATTTCATTGGAAGGCTTTGATGTTCTCGGAAAAGAGAAAACGGTACCCTCTTGCGTTGGCGCATTCATGTGAATATCCATTAAGTCTGGAAGTCCTCGAATAACCGCCTATCTCACTATCATGTGGCAATATAACGTCACTTCGTATCCGCTTGCATCGCACTTTAACCGAATGGCTCCAAGAGTTTCTCTCTATATGTATGATGCCTTTCGCGTCATTTCTTCCTTCTCGCGCACACAAACATTTTCCCTTCTCCAACCACCTTCGTCGTTGGACATCACTCTTCTCTTTCTCTCTCTCTCTCTCTTTCTCCACGATACCGGTCGTGAAAACCGCTTTCAGTTCTTTTGCACCACACGGCAATAGCGGCCATTATAAACTACGTACTTGGAAGCATCCTATACAAGGTGTATACGCTCACTTCAAGCCGGATCTTCTCGTCCTTAAATCGTCGAGGCAAGTAATCGTCGTTAAACCCCCAAGAAGAAGAAGAAGATGAAAGAAAAAAAGGATCCAAGAAGTTGACGATAAAAAAAAAGAAAAGAATGATGAATTTATTTAACGATGAAAGAGTGAAAAAGGATGAGAGAAATAAAAAAAAAAAAATTCTACCTTTTTCGCAGGAAATCGATTTTCCTATGCATCGCGTGTGTTCAAAGAAGCTAATATGCTTGAGAGAAAAGAGAGTTAGAAATCAAAAGAATATTTTATCTTAACTTCACTTCATCCCATGATACTTCTTTTTTGCCTACGAAAATATCCGCGAGAGAAATTGATAAGAAGAATAAGAAAACCCAGACACCCAAGTACTCTAGAGACGGTTAAATATTCAAACTTGATTCGGTGACTATACTTCATTCTTGCTTTTGAATTCATCTCTAAAAAAATTTTTAACTCAATCAAATATTGTCACTGTATAAAAAAATATTTTGCAAAACATTGAATCTTTCCGGTAAATTCATGGATTGTTGAAACTAATTCCCCTAGGGGCATTTCAGAAGATCAGAAACTGTTAGGAATGGCTTTTAAAATTCAATAACGTAAAACCCGTCTCGTGCGCTGAAAGGAACGTAAAACTCGCACGACGTATTACCGTTGTTCGTTTGAGAATTTGTGTTTGTATATATATATACCGTACGATGCGTGGACCAAATGCAATCATATTGCGTGTACAGTGGCAAAAAACGACTCTACTATATATATATATACGTTGAGTTTACGGATAAATGTGGGTCGTCATTGGGTCATGTAACGGTACGTTGGCTTCACATTGCGCACACCTTTCTCTCTCCATCCGTGTCCAATAATAATCGGCTCCGCGCTCGTGTCGCTACTCGTTTGTCGCCCGATAAGCTCCCTAAGCGATTTCATTTCATTATAAATTATGCACGCCTTGCGTTTCTCCTCTGTATGTATATAACTTCTTTGTCCGGCAACATTGCTTCCAGCAAAAATTCTTTTACGCAAGCACACTGTTGCCAAACTCCAAGAAATTTTTCTTCATTCTTAATAATTCCCTCCATATATTTCGAGAATACCTCCCTAGAATATTCGCTAACTCTCTTTGGAAATTAGGATTTTGTTTTAAGATAAAATTATTTTAAAGCTGCAGTTTATTTTTAATCCACATTGGTAACAATCCCATTCCATATAACCAAAACCAATTCTAATGGAAACAAAAATTATTCACTGTCAAAACTTTCTAAATTCGAAGAATAGAGATGTATTCATACAAACCTCGTATGTCGTTATGAAAGTTTAAAAACTTTCACCCATGAACTTTCACTTTGATCATTTTTCTTCTTGATCGATGATAAAAAAAAACACAGTGACCTAAAACAAGTTACTTAATTGATTCTAATTGATTTAAATTAATTATCCTCAATCATTAAACCTTACAAATCCTCTTTATTTAAATAAAATCCGTTTCTTTCGATAAAATCTCTTCTATAAAAAAAAAATTAAACGAGACAATTACAACTGGGTAATAACTTGTAAAAAAAAAAGACTAAAATTTTTGTCTTTAACGAAGTTGGACTCGTCAGAATAGCCGCGTACGGCAACTTAATACTTTACGTGCTATAAAGAAAGCAGGGTTTAGCCCGAATGGAGGGGTGGAAAAAAGGGGGTGGGCGATAACATTAAAGTGTCCCATAAAGAATTCCAAGCGTCGATTCGTGAGGAAGTGAAAAGCTCGTATATACGAGCCGTCATACCATCGAAAGCATTTTGCCTGCTATAACGTCTCGAGAGTACCTTATACCTCCTTATAGTATAGCAACTACGGATCGAAGGTATATGTCTCCTTTTTTTTTTCTTTTTGCTCCTTCCCCCAGCTGCACTTGGCACGAACAAAAGAAGAACCTTACCCACTTGTTCCTTGGAAGAAAATCATAGTAACGACGCATGACACTCGTGGGATTCTGAAAAACCCTCGTTTTGCCGCTCTACAATTTTTCACTGACGCGTTTAATATCTTCTTTCTTTTTACTACGACAATATCGACTTTATTTCTCAGGTAGATTTCAAAACGATTGAGAAGCAAAACTTATTTTATACACTAAAGAGAATAAATCCAGGAAAAATTGATAAAAATTTTCCCATTAAAGAAAATTGTATTTTCTAATCATTTCTTTTTTTTTTTTTTGTTACAGTGCTTGTGAACGTGAAAGCAGCTGAGGAATCACAAGTGGACACTCATGAGGGTTCAACAGTGAAGCTTCAGTGTCGTTTCACCCCTCCCAGGGAGAATGCAACTTATTTTTGGTTAACACACAGGAATAATGTTCACGACAATGCAGCTATTGAACAAACAGCTCTGGCGTCATATTATCGTGTTCATATGAATCAGGATGCGGGAATATATGATTTAGAAATTAAAAATGTCTCCTATGAACGTGACAATGGTAAATATGAATGCCGAGTCAAAGTCAGTGGAACGGGAGAGAATTTGTATCATAAAAATATAACGCTAACGGTACTAAGAGCACCGGGACCACCATCAATATCGCCAATGATGGCTGTAGCACGTGAGGGTGAACCACTTGATCTTCATTGTAATACTCAGGGTGGTAGTCCTGAACCTGAAGTAAAATGGTATCGAGGAGGTAATGAATTACTGATAGCAACAGGACGAACCATCACTGTAACACCGAGAAAAGATGACGATGGAGAGACATTTCTTTGCGATGTAAGAAATCGTGCAATGACATCGGGACAATCATTAAAAGCAACAGTTCGTCTAGACGTGAGCTATTATCCAAGAGTATCAGTTGGTCCTGAAAATCCACTTCGTGTCGAGGCTAATGGCACTGCAACACTCAATTGTTCGGTCGATTCAAAACCAGCAGTATCGATGGTGAAATGGATGAAGGATGGAAATTTTGTTGCCATGAGTAAAGTTCACATGATTCAAAAAGTAACACTTCAAGACGCTGGAACTTATAAATGCCAAGCTGATAATGGTCTCAGTCGACGGGGAGAAGCTTCACTTACATTAGATGTACTCTATCCACCAACTGTCGCTATTGAAGGCAGTAGTATTCGAATAGCTGAGGTTGAAGACTCCGTCACTGTTCACTGTAACGTTTCCTCCAATCCACCGCCAATAATTGTCGAGTGGTTGAGAGAAGGCCGACCAGAATACCGACAAAATGGTAATATCCTGCGGCTCACCAGAGTTACTGCCGATCAAGCTGGAAACTACACCTGTAGAGCAATTAACAACATTCATCCTAGTGGTGGTGATCGAAAAAATCATTCAGCTAGCTCTAAAGTCACAATCCGCGTGAGACATAAGCCAGGACCGGCAAAAATCACTCCAGACTCACCACAAGCTGTTGAAGGTTCAAAAATAATTCTTACTTGCATGGCAAATCCAAGTGGCTATCCAGAACCCCAATATCAATGGTACAAAGAAGGAGAATTGGGTAGTATTCTCCTCTCAACCGAACACACTGGTCCCAAATATGTAATAGAATCAGTTCAATTAAACAGCGAAGGAACCTATAAATGCTACGCAATGAACGAAATTGGTAATGGAGAACCAGCAACTGTCAATCTCACTGTCATCCAACCACCAAAAATTCTTGCCAAACCACATCCTCATGTCACAAGAAAAGTCGGTGAATCATCCTTTCAAGTGACTTGCGTAGGACAAGGTAAACCACGTCCCATGGTTCGTTGGCTTAAAGACGAACAGGAACTCACTGCCGATGAAAGACTCTACAAAGTAACAACAACAACATCCGAAGGACACGGTAGAGTAATCACTGTCAACAGTACCTTAAGTTTCGTAGGTCATGCTCGTCCCGAAACTGACAAAATAATAGCCAACGATCGTGGTAAATACACTTGTGTCTTTTCCAATGAATTACGAAAAGTAGAATCCCAAATGATGTTGAAAGTCGAACACGCACCAATAGTTCTTCATCAACATGGAAAAGTTGCCTACGATTTAAAAGACACTGCCGAAGTTGCTTGCAAAGTTCAAGCATGGCCAAAACCAGAATTCCAATGGACTTTTGGTCCCAACGCAGCACCTCTTCAAGGCTCCAGTGACGGACATTACGAAATCTCCACCAGCAGCGATAACTACGATGTCTACACTTCCGTCCTAAAAATGAGTAATATTCTAGCTCGAGACTATGGAGACTACAGTTGTCGTGCAGCAAATGCTCAAGGCTCAATAACATCCATCATTAAACTTCAACCAAAAGGAGCACCAGAAAGACCAAACAGTATCAGTGCAGTTGACATTGGTCCAAGTTACGTTACACTTCAATGGGATCTTGGTTTTGATGGTGGATTACCAATTACAAAAGCTTTCATTTCATATCGTCGAGTAGCCAGTGAACAAGATATTATTGTTCCCGATTGTGCTCCACCACGAGGACCACCCAATGGTCAATGGCAAGAACTCGATTGTCGAAAATCAAATCCATGTAATATTACCGATCTCGATCAACATCAGACCTATAATTTCAAAGTCAAAGTGTACAATACAAAAAATCATTCCGACTATTCAGATGAAATTAGTGCCACAACTGCAGTGACAAAAATTCCAATGCCAATGAGAGTTACCTACGATCCTGAAACATTTCTATTGTCAATGAATGTGGGTGCCACTTGTTTGGCTCTCGTTGCATCGATCGAGAAATTGGATAGCGGTTCAGATAACTTGTGGAAGAAAACCGAAGAGTGGCCACTTGAGGTCTTGGGAAGTACATCAACACACAGGCAAAATCATCTTCACGATACTGATCTTGATAATTCCCAACCACAAATTAGAGTTAGACTTTGCCTAAAAGCAGATCGACAAAAATGTGGAGAGTATATGGAAGCTGAAAGTGAGTAATTTTAATAATTATTTTCAAAATCCAAACTTTGATAAAAAAGAATAGAACTAAATTCGATGATTTATTTTTTACAGTTGGACCGCCAATGATCGCTCAAACTGGTGGATTGACGACATCAACATTAATCACATCATTAGTCAGTGGAGCTGTATTTTTACTCTTCGCCGCATTGGTTCTTCTATTTTGCCGATTCCGCAGGAAACATGCGACCAAGGCAAAAGACTATGAAATGGACTCAAACGCGTAAGTCTTTTCTCAATTCTTAATTTTGTCTTTTCATTTGGTGAACCAATCTATATTCGTTGCGGTATGCACTTTTTCTCATTCTATCGTGTCCGTTGGCGAATATCTCTTCCATAGTCCCAGCGTCGTAATTCAGAGCGAACCGTAAAGCGTGAAATGGAACTCTCATCGAGTCGTGGAGAGAAAATGGTGGTAAGAGAGAGAAGATGGTGGTGGGCTTCGAGAAAGAAAAAAAAAAAAAGGATCTTTCTTCGAAGCGCATCTTATCTGATACTTCTTATACCAAGGACCATACATCGTCTTCTTCGTCCTCGAGGCAATCTACCTACATACTCACTCAACTATGATAGCATATTCGTTCTCTCTCTTATAATCCTCCCGAGATGTATGGATAAAGCGGAAACTCAATTCCTTCCTCATAGGATTTCCTATCAATTTCCAATAATCCTTATCAGGGTCCCCCGAAAAAATAATATTTATCATAACTTTTTTAACTTTACGACAATGAATAATAAATATTTTTAATTTTATCTTATGACATGACGAAAATTGAACCTTAATTGAAATCACTGTGACACCGAAATAAAAAAAAAAAAACATATCTTGAGGGTAGCGAAGAGCTCTATAAAATTCTTACACTGCACACCGTAAAAAAAAGAACGAGTAGAGTTTCAAAGCTTGGAAATGTCTCTTTTTAAGTGACCGTATTTACAAACTTTCGCGTTTATTACCCATTGCGTATTAGCAAACAACATATTTGAAGCTCGAAAAATTTAAGAGACATCCCTCCTTGGAAACATTTTCTCTCGAGTAATTCTTATACTTTTATAGTGTAGACAATTTTCTTGAAGAAAGCTGTTTTGTTTTTATCTTCGCCTTTTCTATTGCCTTTGTCAACAGTATCTCTTACAATCTCGTTAGCAAGTTATATATATATATATATATATATCACTCCTTTGACATCATGGTAATTGATTTAAGCTCACAGATCGTTTCTCGTGTTGCAATTTAAAAAAGAAAAGGAGACTTGAAATTTGTCCTCCTTTTCTTTATTAATTTTCTTCTGTATTTACTTTCCGACTCGCGTTTCTTTTCATGCTTTCCTATGATCAAAAATAAAAAAAAATTATGAAATTCTATAATAGAAAATTTACACAAGCTATTTGTAATGGAAATTAGTTTCATAATTTATTAATGAATTTATTTTTGCAAATTACAGAGTACGACCGAGCTTGGTGACTGGAAATGGCCAACAGAGTCAAGCACCACCGCCATATTATGCAGAGAACAAAGCCTTGGAGCATAGTTTGGACCACGCCTTGGCACTTGAAGATTCAAAGACCCCTGCCTACGTACAATCTGGATATGGTTATCATCAACCAAATCACAACATCAATGGTGAGAACGGTAAATGTTCGGTACCACTAACACTTTTTCAATTTAAATATATCATATACTAACATTATTCTAATTGCATGATTATATAATTAATTCTCAGAACATCTATTCAATCCAAACGGAAATTTTTTCTTCCTATATTAATTTTAAAAAAATAATTTTAATTTCAATTTTTTTTTTTGATAAATGAATATCGACATTGTAATTGAATTAAGATATTGGAGATCAATTCTATTTGACTTTGGTAGAGGTTAATGTTTAACAAGCATGCAAATGCAGAACTCTGGGTTTTCGAAGCGTATAGCTAATTCGCCAAAATCAATTCCTACAGGTGTCAACATGGGATATATGGACAACAGCTATTCTAATTCAAACAATGGCGGGTCGGTCAACTCGCAGGATTCCATTTGGCAGATGAAATCGGCTGCGGCCAACAGCGTTAACCAACCCTACGACATGGGCGGATACGCAACTACCGAGTCAGATTATCCTGCACATCCTCATTATATGCCACAACGCGATGATTACAGGGAAAGCCACAACTTGAGTCGGCAACAATTTTGCCCAGAGCCCTTTGCCGCTGTCGTCAAATCTCAAAAGCATGTTGGTTAGTAAACTTCCCTCTTTCATTGATAACACTTTATTCTCTCTTTTATGTGTAATTGTTTTTTTTTATTATTTAACACAAGTAGAAAAATTTTCTAAATGGAAGAAACTTGGTTTCTTCTAAAACCAAGAAATTTTTTATCTGAATCAGAAAAATTGTCCTAAAATTAAAAAAGTTCTTCTAAACTTAAAACCTTCTTCTGAACTCAAGGAATTTCTCCTGAAACCAAAAGACTTCTAAAGTAAGATACTTCTTCTAAACCAAGAAATTTATCCTGAACTAAAAAACTTTTTCTAAATCAAGAAACTTTTCCTAAAACCAAGATACTTCTCCTAATCCAAGAAATTTCTCCTAAAACTAAGAGGTTATTCCTAATTTAAGAAACTTTTTCTAAATCTAAGACGCTTCTTCTAAATCCAAAAGAGACTTATCCTAATCCAAGGAATTTCTCCAAAAGACTTCTAAACCAAGAAACTTCACATAAAGCAAGAGACTTCTCCTAAAACAAAAAAACTTCTAAAGCAAGAGAGTTCTTCTAAACCAAAAACCTTGTCCTTAATTCAAGAAACTTTATCTGAACCAGAAAAATTCTTCTGCAACAATGAAACATCTTCTAAAGTTTAATCCTTCTCTTAAACCAAGAAACTTCTCCTAAAGCAAAAAAGTTTTCCTAAAATCAAGAGACTTCTCCCAAACCAAGACGCTTCTCCTAAATCCAAGATTCTTCTCCTAAACCAAGACGCTTCATCTAAAACCAAGAGACTTCTCCTAAACCAAGACGTTTTTTCTAAAACCAAGATGATTCTAAAACCGAGTGATTCCTTCTAAACCAAGACGCTTTTCCTAAAACCGAAAGACTTCTCCCAAACCAAGACGCTTCTCCTAAATCCAAGATTCTTCTCCTAAACCAAGACGCTTCTCCTAAAACTAAGAGACTTCTCCCAAACCAAAAAAACTACCAAAGCAAGAGAGTTCTTCTAAACCAAAAAACTTGTCCTTAATTCAAGAAACTTTATCTGAACTAGAAAAATTCTACTGCAACAATGAAACATCTTCTAAAGTTTAATCCTTCTCCTAAACCAAGAAACTTCTCCTAAAGCAAAAAAGTTTTCCTAAAATCATGTGACTTCTCCTAAACCAAGACGCTTCTCCTAAATCCAAGATTCTTCTCCTAAACCAAGACGCTTCATCTAAAACCAAGAGACTTCTCCTAAACCAAGACGCTTTTCCTAAAACCAAGATGATTCTAAAACCGAGTGCTTCCTTCTAAACCAAGACGCTTTTCCTAAAACCGAAAGATTTCTCCTAAACCAAGATGCTTTTAATACCGAGAGATTCCTCCTAAACCAAGACGCTTTTCCTAAAACCGAAAGATTTCTCCTAAACCAAAACGCTTCTTCTAAAACTAAGAGGCTTCTATAAAACCATAAAGTACTTCTAATCAAAGAAACTTCTCCTAAACCAACAAACATTTTTATTTTCAATTAAAACAAAAAATCCTCATTGCAAATCTATTTGCTTTCAGACTCGCCATACGATGTGTCAGGATTGCCATATCAAGAAGCCTATGACGAAGACCAAAAACCTCCACAGCAGGTGAGCTTATCTTATGATGAGAGCCTTGAATCAGGTTATTCAACACCCAATAGTCGGGGAAGACGGATAATTCGTGAGATAATTGTCTGAGATCAGCCTACCGGCTCAAGGGCCGGGAACACAACACAAACTTGGCTCTAGCAGCAAGCCCCCCAGCACCACCTTCATCCACATCATCAAATGGAGATTGTCATTGAAAATCCAGGTAGTACATCTCCAACGAATCCAGGAATAGTGGTGCATCCTCATATACATCGACCATGTAGCAATAGGTCAATATACGGGACCGATTTGACGTCAACATCATCAGGTGTCAACTATTACGCCACATTGCCCCCACGTTTACGTAATCATCACATCGTACCTGGAGGAAGTGATCTTGATGGTGCATCAACAACATCATCTGTGCGTCGTGTCGATAGATCAGGATTACTCGAAATATCCGATTTAGAACCACCACGAAATCGTTCACGACATTTAACTGGAGCTGAAAATCTCGGTACATTATCGCGACGTGTCGATAGATCGGGATTACTTGAAGCCGTACCTGAAGTTCCCGATCAGTGTCAAGGTGGTAATTGTGCCTCAGATGAATTATCAGAAAGTGATGTTAATAATCGATGTTCAATTATTGATCGTCATTTAACTGGTGCCGAAATCAATAAAAAAACATTGAGTCCAAGATTATTAAGATCGCCCATTGAATCATTAAAGAGACGTTCATTCGAATCAGTGGAAGAGGTGAATTCTCCGACAGTGTCTTCTTCAAATCTTCATCCTCGTTATCAAACTATTTCAAAATCATTAAGATCAACGACAAAATTAATACCAAGTGAAACATCATCCTCAGTAACAGCAACAACACAATTAGATATTACAAAAGAGAATAATGAAAAAACATTTTCAAATTCGCCTTTACCATTGTCGAGGCCATGTTCACGTAACTCCTCCATCAATGAAACAACAATAAATGATATTCAAGATTACAAAGAAATGAAACCAGACTGCCTTGGTAGAATAAGTCCTCGTTTGCGTAATGATCGACATTCACCAATGACATTATCATCAATACCGGACGTTATTGAGGCCCATGGCTCATCGGCATCAAATTCACAAACACGAAATGAAGTTGGCGAAAGAGCTGAAGCTGAGGGCTGCGAACATACTGCCATTGAAAGTCTTGAGGAGTCACGCGTCTCCTTTAAGACATCACAAAAAATTCTACACAACGATAACATTCAGGCTGTTCACGTTTTCATTCTCTCCGAACAATTGTGAGGGCAAACATCGGTGGTCGGGCCCTCCACAACAAATAACAATAATGATAAACCCGACACCGATACAAATGGTGAGATCGTCAATGCAATAATAAAGAGAAATTCAAGAAGAAAGCGTTCGTCAAATGTACATAGTGCGTGTATTTTTTGATCTATCAAATATCGTCATCGGACGATTAAATTGTATTATATTGTATTTATAAATTTCAAGTCACTCGTTTAAAAAAAACAAAAAAAAAAAAAAAAAAAAACGAAGAGGACGTTTTTAGCGAAAAAGGCTGACGACGCCACAAGAGGCCATATTATATGTGTGTGAAGAGTCCTTTAGCGTGTGTAATATTTGGTGAACGTGGAAAAAGTTTTTTTTTTTTTTTTAAAAATATATAGAAACTAGTGTATGATGATGATTCTAAAGGTCAAGCCAGAAAAGCATTTCGTTGATCAATCAAGTTACCGCCTTGCGTTTTAGCGGACCCCGAATTAAACGGGATTTGAAATTGCGAAGCGAGAGAAACTCCAGATTAATTAATTTCATTTGCCATCACTCCCTCCTTTCTCTAACCCTGGTAAACTACTCCCCGTCCTAATGATTTATCTACCTCTGCAAGATTGCACACGAGAAGGTACGATCTTCTAATTCGTTTGGACGCATTTTTTTTTTTTTTGGTGTGGCCTCATTAATTTTCGACAGCATCGATATTGAAATACCCTTTTTTCTCAATTTTCATCGAATTCAACGTTCTGGACGATATTTTTTTTCCCAAACGCTAGTCAGTTTCTTCATTTTTTTTTTTTTAGTTCAGGTTCTTATTTATACAGATTTAAAATTGAAATTAAAAAATTATTATTATTCGTCCCTAATGTGCGTTTTCTTTAATTCAACGAAATATCATCGAAGAAAAACTGATGATTTTATGGGAAGTCGATTTTGAAAAAAAAAGCTTGACCCGACTTCCGGCCGTAATATTTGTATTTTATACTTTTATATCGTGAACGAGAAAGAAGTGTCTACAAAATAGAAAGAAAAAAAAATTGAAAGAATGTGATTTCGTGTCTGTGTGATCTTTTAAGAGATGTATATTATTATATCAATGTGTCGTGATTAGTAATTAAGGGAAAATAATTTTTATGCAAAAAAAAAAAAATGAGAGATATATTCTACACAAGAAATCAATGGTAATTTATGCTCTCTCTCTCTCTCTCTCTCGATTTTGGGGCTGAAGCGATTATCATCGAGAGTGATTCATCATCCCAGATCTGCATTTCCGTGCGTCAATCTCGATAATTCCTTTAAACGCATTTAGCCTGTATATATAGTTTCTAGGGCTACAAAGTACTTAACGATATTATCAAATGCGTTCATTTGAATAGTCGCGATTATGACAAATGATTACGTGTAACTTTTTTTTTTTCTGTTACATTTTGTTTCCTTTACGTGGAAAATTTTTTTTTTTGAAAGATCTGAAGAGCTTCAGCCCTGCGTTTTAGTGAATCTCAAAGAAGAAGAAAGAAAGAAAAAATCTCGTATACTCATCGAAACTTGACTCGAGTGTTTTTTTTTTTTTTTTTTTTTATTGATTTTAAAATAGAAACACAATTTTAACATGTGCGCTGTGTTTGTGTCTTTGTTTTAGATAGCAAATCTGACACAATTATTATTTTTTTTTTTTGTTAAAGTTTTTTATTTTTCTATATACGAAAGGTGTGATTCACACCTAAAGATTGATGCATTATTTTTTAACAAAGTGATCTCATTTGCTCGCAGTTAAAGAGTCTCTCTTCTTCCTTTTTACTTTTAAAATCACTAACACTGAAAGCATTGCTCTAGTGATTAATTATTCATTTTCTCATTTTTTTTTTTTTAATTGGTCCATTTCCTATTAAATAGTAAATACAGTGACATAACCTGAAAATAAAATTCAAACGCGCATGCGTCAGGACCGTATCTAAAAAATTTTGCTTCACTCTATTTTTGTTTTAAAGAAAAATGAGTAAAAAAATGGAATTATAGAGCAATTCTTTCAGCTAGTGTTGCACTTGTCCAATTTTATATTGGATTTCACGCACATTATATTAAATTGTGAAATGATGAAACAATGAAATAAGATGAAAGAAAACATATATCATAAATATATATGTAAAATATAGGCATCACCGTCCCTTTCTAATTGTATAGCCAACGCTCGTTACAAAACTTGTGTGCCTCTCATTTGGTGAGAATTTTTGGTTTTTAATTACAAAAATAAAAAATTTGCTAGAAATTCCCGTCTAAAGATTGACAAATATTTTTTGATCTCTAGACGGGAAAAAATGGTAAATCAAATAATTCTCGATGTGTGTCTTAAGAAATAGATTTTGGTGGATCAGATATTTTTCCTAATAGATTCTCCTCCACAAGGATTTATTATCCTAAGATCGTTCATTTGAACAATATATTAAGTAACAAAAATTTGTTACTTGATTGAACGACCAATGAAATTCATCATGAAAAAAAAGAGTATATTAACCCAAGGAGATATAAAAAATATTTTTGCATAAATGATCAATTTTAAAATGAGGAATGTACGATAACGAGCGTTGGCAAAATTGAAATTTATTTTTTTCTCTTTTGCTCTCTGAGGTAAAAAAAGGACTTTTTTTTTATTTAAAAAAAAAAACCCTTTCACACACAACTATGATCCATAATCTTATATTCTCTTGCGTCATCGTCCGACAAGCTTGTATAAATCGCAAAAAAAAAAAAAAAAAAAAATTATGTACATAAAAACAATACAAGAGAGAAACGAAAGAAAGAAGTAACGTTATAAACGCGCTAAATGACTCATGCAAATATTTAACTCTTTCTCTCTCTTTCTCTCTCTCTCACTCTCTTTTTCTCTCAAAGTTAATTAAGAGAGCCGTGAGCAAAATTGAGAGCTAGAAAGGAAGGAAAATATATAAATACAAGGATCTTTCGCAAAAGCTGAGATTCTTATCTTTGTATAAGAAATATAAATATATATAAACAGTCTGACTGTAAAAATACAGAAGAGACACTAATTAAATAGGGAACATCGTCAACTTAGCTTATAAGAAAAAAAAAAAAAAAAAAGAAAATCACGAAATTACGCCCCTTCTGTTCAATATATATTTGGGGGTCGAAATAAAAAAGACGGATATACGCCGAAGCTCGATTCCGTGTCGAATAATATAGTTAAATTACATTTAAAAAAATGTGTATTAATTATATTTATATAAACATTCAATTTGAAAAAAAAAATTTTTTTTTTTTGAAAAAATTACAATAATTAAACTTAATTTGCATATTTTATGGAAAAAAAAATTAATTTTGTACATTTGAATTTTTATTTTTAAGAATAAATTATTATTTGAAAAAATTACTTAATATATTTAATAAAGCAATTATTGTAATTTTTTCCTTAAAAAAAAAAAATTAATAATACATATTTTTTTTCATGTACGTATTTTGTATATATATATATTATTATTTCACTTGTAAAAGATTCACGCGTACGTAAAAGAAAAAATTTATTCGGCATGCGAAAAAAAAAGAAACTATGAAATTGTATAAGTTTACGGCGATGATTATTATTTTTTATTACGAATTATTATTTGTACAAATTTTATGTTGCAATATAAAAAAAAAAAATAAATGATAAAGTACCAGTTCATAAGAGTATATGTGTCATTTAAATATTCCTTTCCTGATGTGTTTTTCCATTATAAGAGGAAAAAAGTCAATTAGCGGTAGAAGTATATAAAAGTCATTTGGAGAGTTTGTCGTTTTTTTTTTTTTTATTCTTTTAACTTCTGTACGGGGTAAAAAAGGGGAATTCTTTAATTATAAGCAAACGTTTCTTTGCTGTTGGAATATCATGGACAATGAAAAGTGGGTTCTTGGTTGGAAATTACGATTTCCCAGACAATTGTCAAGTAATTATATCCGCAAGTTGTAAAAGTGGATGGAACTTTTTTAAATATATAATTAAGAATTCTTGCTTAATGGAATTTTTTTTTATCAAGAATTAAAATAAAATTAAAGTTATTTCTAACAAATTATCTTGTGTATGTGTGACAAAAGGAATGTTAAACGGATTTTTCGCTTCGTTAATTTTAAACCAATTTCGCGTATAGAAATTTAAAGAAAATTCAATGTCTGCAATATTATCGACTGATGAATAAATAGAAATCGATAAGTTAAGAAATATTAATTCTTCGTATATCAACTGAAGATAATATTATCAGCTGTCGGTAAGTTATCATGAGTTTAGTTAGCGTCTGCTAGATATTTTTTTAGTGCCGATAACATCAAATTAAAATATTATAAAAAACTTTAAAATAATAAAAAAAAATGTTTGATATTTTTTTAAAAAGACTTAATTTATGTTTTGTACCTGATTAAACTATTAAATAATAATAAAAATAAAAAAAATAATTTATTAGAAAAATTTCAATTTTTTATTCTCTTTTTTTCTTTTATTGTTTTAAACAAAAACAGGTAAAATATAAAAAAGAAAATTTAATCTAAACAAATTTTTTATGGACAAAATTTTAAAACAGTAAAATTGTACACTGAGAAAACGATATTTTTAGGTAAAATAAAAAATAATTAAAAATTTTTTAGCTTCAGAAAAATTATAATTTTTTTGTAATTTGAAGTAACCAGAAGTAAATTATTATTTTAGAAATAATTTTGTTAATAAATTAATAGATGAGAAACATAATTAAAGTAGAAAATTTACTTTTTAATTAAATCCTCTTTCAAATTATGTTTAATTTCATTAAAATTTTAAAGCAATTATATATTATTATATATTATTATTTAATTTTAAAAGTTATGGTCAGAAACATATTTTGTAAATAAATGCAAAAAAAAAATTTGAAAATGTTCTAAATATTTTTAATGAACTACATTAGAAATTAATTATTATAATATTAATTAATTCCCTTTATTAATTATTAAATTTAACTTTTGTTTTAAAAATATAACTTTTGAGTTGTTATACTCGGTAGAATCTTTGAACTAATTATTATTGGTAGACATTTCCAACAGTGATTTTATTACAGAATAAGATAATTCTTATTTTTTATGTCTAAATCCCGAGATTAAATTTTATGGACGATTGTAATTGTGACTTTCTTTAATAAATCACTGAGGAAATATTTTCTAAATTTATAAAGCAAAAATTTCATGAGTTTAATAAAAAAAAATTCTTCAAAAATGTATTTATGTTAACAACTCCAAAAAAAATTGTTTAATGGAAAATTTTGCAAAATACAGAAAAACTGAAATATTTCCTTTATTTCCTTCCTACATTCATATGTATTTTCAAAATAAAAATGCATGATACAATCTTTTATTTTTTAGTATAAAAAATGTTATTACTTCTACATGTTTGTTGATAAATGCCAAGGTTTTACATAATTTAAAAAATTTAAAAAGATTCTAAATAATTTTTAGGGATTTTTATTAAAAATTAATGAATATATTCTTTCAATTACATATTAAATTTAATTTTTATTTTAGAGTTTTGTTTTTATGTATTGCTATATTAAGTAATTAATTTATTTATTTTAAGTATTTATCGACTAAAACCATTTAAATCCCTTGGATATAAAAAAATCCATTTGTTATATGTCCTAAATTTTTAATTTAAATTTTTTTTTAATTTTTCCTAGGCCAGAACTTATAATTATTCCTCTATCTAATTCCTCAATTTAACTTAGTTAAATAAACTAAGTTGTGGAGAGGTATTAAATGAATAATTTATATATAATTAAAAGATTATTTATTTTTTACAAAAATGTAATGTTTTTAAATCTGTTAGAATATTAACTTAATACAGAGAATATACGCGCAAAGACTGGATAGAGAAATAAAATGTACACAAGGATTTTTGGCATGAAAAATAGTATAGGCTTTATTTTGACAACGGGTAAACGAGGACTGGCTTCAAATTACCTGAGTACAGACCTTAGGACCTTTATTCGAGGATGTACATGAAGTGGGGAGGTCATAAACGGACCCTTACAACTTTTCTTGAATTTCACGATTTGTACATAGAAAATAAATATGTCGCAAATATAGTTGTAGTTTTAACAAAATCTTAAATATTTGTGAAACAATAATCAAATATTCCTTGTTATGAAATTTGAGTTTGTTTACGTCAAGTGTCGATAGCCGGTCCCTTGATGCAAAGGTAAGATCTTCTTTACATTTTTATGAGCAAATTTTTACTGTATTTCTATAACTTCTGTGGCTCGTAATTTTTAAACTGTTGAGTTATATTAACACTTATGTATATGTTTTTGAACTAATCTCAATGGGCAAGGTTTCCCTTTATATAGGAAGATTTTTGTGTGTCAATCTTTCGATGATATCAGCTATAGCCTAGGCAGATTTTTTCTAGGACGGGACATCACCGATGCAAAAGGTATTGGTGACCCTCTTCTCAATAGTGGTGGGTCACGTTTATGGTTTTTGTATTCGAAAACTATATTTCCCAATTATCAAATACCAGAAACATTACATTTCTATTACATTTAATTAAATCATTATTATATTATTTAAAGTATACAATACAAATTAAATATGATATAATATAAATATTTTTTTAACGAGGGAAGTGGAAAATCTGCATAACCCTTGATATCCAAGGCAGATACCTGGAGCCAGGTGCTCCTAGGTTATGTAGGGATGACCATTCTTGTTCTGGACGACACACTTGAAACCACAACCTTTGGCTGGAATAATCCTCACACTACGAAACTGCCGTCAAGCTTTAAACTTTGTAGGTGAAGGTCCCTTAGATCTCGCTATCGCTGCCGTTGCCAATATTTCTGGCCTATTTATTCTTCGTTCGTGCAAGAGTTTTCTTGAACTTCTCATGGGGCCGACCTGAAGACTCGGCATTCTCCGCTGCCTGCGATATGGCTAATGTTCGCCTTATCACCATACTTTTCTCTACATAAGAAGCAGCTTGCGCTTCTACTGCAGTTTGCAAACTTATGACCTGCCGATCGACGGTCTGCACTTTCCTCATGCTTCCAACCGCTTTGGTGACCTCAGCGGTGAATGCCTCCTTATTGGAGTCTCCTCTAATTATAATTAGATCTCCTGCGTGTGGCTGACGTCCAGATTTATTTCATTCCGAAGTTTGCTCAGTACGTCGGCATACGTTGTTCCAGTTGTTTCTCGGATTACCATTGTAGCTTCACTCGTCGCTTTCTTCTTATTGGTTTGCTTAGGATTTGGGGTTACCATAACCTTTGCAGTCTTTTTGACAAGAGGACCCTGTGGGCAAAAAACCATGTTCGTTCTAAAAACGTTTTAAGGACGTTCTTAGAACGTTTCATGTCCGCCAAATAATGTTCTGGAATTTTTTAAGAACATGGATGTTCAAATAATGTTCCAGAACATTATTTAGTGGACATGAGTGGGTTTTTTTGCCCACAGGGGAGCCTCCTCTTGATTTCTCTTCTTCGCCTCGGCGTTAGCGCTCTCCGGACTGCTACAGCTTTTTCTTCGTTTTTGAGCCTCTATGACTCCGTGCCGAAGCCGCTTCTCATGGCTACGCTCTTTTTTTCTGTTTCACACTTTTCGGTTCACCTCAACATTGTCTATAGCGCTACCAAGGTTGCCATCATCATTATCTGCTATGGTGTACTTTGTCTTTGCCTCACTGACACAATCCTGAAGAGTCTTAAGTCCGTCCTTAATAGTCAATGTTGACATTCATCTGGACTTCGCAACACTTTATCATCTTGACGATCTCCTTTTCGATCATCTAAAGACTAAAGCATTTCCGCTTCTACTTCCAAGTCTTTCCAAACGGACCTGGGGAACCATAAGAAACTGGGGACATCCATGGTTCATCCTTCTTGTGGCATTGAATACTGCAGCACCCAATATGTCCAATACTGCAGCACTATTGTCACTGAATTTCGACGCTGGGAAGCCAACTTGCTCACTTCTAGCAGCGCCGGCACTATGGGGTATCCCTCCCCTGCATCGTAAACGTCCTTATTCAATCATTTGCTTTCCATATATATTTTGTTCTTACTTTATATCTTGGTTTTTGGAAGTCTTTTGGTGAAAAGCCCCACCGCCACGACAAGGTCTACACCAAGAATTTACAAGACTCTTGGTAGCGGACACCCATCGGCAGGGACAAAAATGATATTAAAAACATTATTTGTTTACATAATTGTTAGTTTACATGTTTAATATATATAAATAATTGTTTATTTACAAGTATTTGTTTAAAAATACTTGTTTAATTGTAATAAATTATTTATTTATAAGTATATTTGTTTATTTATAAAAAATGGTTGATTTACAAATATTTGTTTGTTTATAAACAATTGTTTATTTACAAATATTTGTTTATTTATAAACAATTATTTAATTAAAATTATATTTATTTATTTAATAAATTAATTAAAAACAATATTTATTTATTATGAAATATGTTACGGTGACGTGACAAGTCCTCCCGAAATCAAGCATGGTTGTGAAACAACGTGAAGCATCACGGTCGACAATTTTTGTTTACATAGATTCTAGAATTTATTACTTCTTACTTTGTTTACATAAATTTTTCGAACAAAGGTAAAAATATTTGTTACAATATGTTTTAGTTTGATACATAGATTATTCGAACGAAACTAAGTACAATTTTCGAAAATATATTAGTTACAGTATAAAAAATCTTTTTTTTTTATTTACATAGGCTTACAAAAAGAGATGACTGCTTTTCTACCGAAGTACTAATTTAGAGAAGTTTAACATTAATTTTTTGTTTAATTTTAACCAAACATAATAATTATGTAGCTTTGTTACTGATATCTACCGGGTATAACAACTCAAAATTTATATTTGTAAAACAAAAATTTAATTTAATAATAATTAAAGGGAATTAATTAATATTATAATAATTAATTTCTAATGTACCTAGTTCTCTAAAAAAATATTTAAATCAGTTTCAATTTTTTTGCAATAAATAAAATCATTGGCATTTATCAAAAAACCTGTGATGGTAATAAAAATTTTTATACTAAAAAAAAAGATTGTAGCTTAGGTACTTATCTATTTACAAAATATGTTTCTGTCAATATCTTTCAATGTTAAATATAATTGCTTTAAAATTTTCATGAAATTAAATATAATTTAAGGGAAGGTTTAATTAAAAAGTAAATTTTCTACTTTAATTAAATATATTAATTAAATATTAAATATTTAATTAAATATATAAATTAAAATTAATTTTTTAATTTTTCTAAAATTTTAATTTAAAAAAATAAAAATTCTAAAATGGTCAAAAATTAAAATTATGTTTTTTTGACCATCCTGTATGTTTTCAGGACCCAAATGATGCAAGAAAAAATATAATATCCTGTTATCATTAAAATTTAAAAGACTCAAAATAAAGTTCCCCTTAGAAACTTTAAAAAATAATCATTGGCTTCATCTGTCTTGAATTACAAAATATTTTTAATTTTCTAAAAGTAAAATTGTTTTTTTAATTTTTAGTCCTTTTAAAAAATAATTTTTTTTTACTTTAGTCGTAAAATACTTTTATTTAATTACATATAGAATTTTACTGTTTTAAAATTTTGTTCATAAAAAAAATGTTTGATTTAAATTTTTTCTTTCTTATTACTTGTTTTGCATAGAATGTTAAAAGAAAAAAAAAAGAATAAAAAATGTTAAATATTAATAACTTTGAGAAAATTTTATAACTTTTTTTATTTGAAAAAATATGCGCTGATAGATATTTCTGCGCCTATAAAAGTGTGGACAATTGTTAAATATTCATACATTTTCAGTTTGACATTAGTACGGGTTCCTAATCCATCGGGTAATTTATAACAATTTTTATTTCTTTTTATCTTATATTTTCTATAAATGTATATACATTTGACAAAACTGATATTTCAATTGTTTTAATACTTTTATATTTTGTTATTCAAAAATGTTTATAGAATAAAATATTTTTTTATATTAAAATTAATTTAATTAATTAATTTAGTGAATTTTTTTTTAATTTATAGGTGTTAAAGCATTTTTCACAAGTAATCGCAATATTAGCCAAAAATGTCTAATTGGATAAGATTTTTGGTGTTGTTTCTCAGCATTTTATTTGTCGCAGACACAAGTTTAATACGTAATCTGCCCAAGGTAAATTTACATTTAAAAGCGAAATTTTTGAAATCTAACAATTTAAAAAAAAAATATATATATATATATAGAAAAAAAACTTTTTTAATTACAAAATTATAATTATATATAATATGTATTTAAAGAAATTATTTTTTTTTGATCTACATCTAAGAGTAATTTAATTAAATTAAATATATTTTTTTATAGAGAGATAGAAATTCATTGAGCAGTTCTGGGTCTTCTGAAAATTCTAGTGGCGTAAGTAATAAGCATAATACATTTCATTTGAATAAAAAAAAAATTAATTAATATATAATATTTATATACATGGGTTAAAATTTCCCTATTTATACAAAAATAAATTTTTTTTTAATAACTGTGTTTCTCGAAAACACGGCAGTATACACGTATAAATATTGTTCTAGGGTTCAATGTTTTCTGGATTAAGAAGAAGAAGAAGAAGCAGCAGCGGAATGGTAGGAAAATTTAAAAAAGAAACTTTTTTTTTTCAAGGGTGTAGCGAACTTTAAAATTATGTATATGGATAAAAATTTCCAAAATGTACGAATCAAAAATTAAAAGTTTCTTGAATTAAATTAGATAAAATATTTGTTGAGTTATAGAATTGTAAAATTTTATCATTTTTAAAAATTTATTTCGAGAGGTTTAATTTCTTTAATATTACTCATTTTTTTTTATCTTCTATGAATAAGAATAAAAATAATAATGATTTAGTAATATAATCAAAATTTAATATTATTTTTATATTATTAATATTTTGTCAAAAAAAAAAAAAAAATTTATTCTTAAAAAATTACTTATTTGTGCGGAAAGAACTAAAATCGTATTGCCGCCATATTAAATTTTCCTCAAATATGCAAATTTTTTAAAAATAAATTTTTTTGATAAAATATTAATACTCTGTCACATAACAGTAATTCCTCGTGTAGTATTATTGAGTTCTCCACAAATTTTTAGCTTAATCTATCAAAAATTTTGCGAGAAAACTTGCGGAGAATATATTTACATGTGATATCACAACAATCACATAATTTTTGAAAATATCGCATTGTTATAATAACTGAAATTTTTAGAAATAAATAAACGCACTTTAGGGATTAACAAAATATTGAGATGAAATTAATTGATGTCGTTAGAAATTAAATTATCCTTCTTATTTAGAGTACTACTTATGGATATACTTATAATATAATTTAATATACAATATATATATATATATATTATGTTCTAGAGTGATTCATCTAGTCGAAGTCGGAGTTCACTCAGTAACGAATCTTCATAAAAGAGTCAGCAATATGGCTTTTACAACATAAACTAGCATATGGCTGAATTCCTCTAAAAAGTGAACGTCATATGTAACTTGTTTATATTGTAATCCTGTAATTTGTCTTATTGACTGATTTACTGAATGAATAAATAAATAAAAAAACTAATTAAGAAAAGTTAAATTTCTCTCATAACCTTTAAATCATTTTATACAAAAAAGTACACTTAAAAAAAGGGGGAGGAAGAAATTTTGAATTCTTTAAAAACAATTTTGCACCATTCGAAAAAGCAGAAAAAACCTTTCGAAAACGTATAGGTCACAATTTTTTATAACCCTTTTATGTGATAGTTATGATTCTTCAAAAAAATCTAATGTTCAAATTTTTGCTATTGGATTACATAAAAAATTTTGCCCCATACGGGCAAATACTCATGACATTTTTCTTTTTTTTTTCTCATGTATAACTAAAAAAAGATTACCTCATAATAAGCATCTGATGGTAAAACAGTTTTTTTTTGTTCACAGGATAAATCGCAAAATGAACATAAATACAAAATTTTTTTATGCAAAATAATTTAATAAAAAAGTGAGGGACCCGTCATTATTATTTTTTTAGAAAGTGTAAATAATTAAATAAGGTCGACAAAAAGTTGGTTTTCCTGTTAAATATATGTAAATTATAATTCCCGAAAAAATTTTAAAAAGACGATTTAAAAAAAAAAAAATTTCTGTGAAGTATTAGTACAGAAATATAAAAAAATTTACTGCTTTAAAATTTTTCTACATAAAAATGTAAGTTTGTAAAATCAAACAATAATCTTGAAACATAAAAAATATAATTTTTTTCTTTCTTGATATATCCACTACAACTCATTAAAATAATCAGTGTCTCCAAGTAATGGTTAAATTCACGTCAGGTAATATAGACTTTTTTTTGTAATTCCGCAATCGAAGAATATTTAATTTATAAAATTTAATTTCAATTAAATTCTAAATATTTTTAATTTAATTTAAACAAATAGTAAATTAAAATTTTACTTATATTATCTTCATATTTGAATGCTTTTCATTTAATACAAAATTGAATGTTCAATTGTACTATATTATACATATATATGCATCTTTATCCTAAAAAGAAAAGTTATTAATGCAAATTTAATTAATTTTAGAATTTATAAGAGCTGGTTTCAAAATTTTTTGAAATTAAAAGTTACTTGCCTACCAGATAAGTGTACTATTTTTACATAAGATTCTTTTTCTATCTGAAAAACAATGGCTCGATTATTAAGTATTTTGTTTCTGATTGTCCTTATTGTGGGTATTTCAGAATGTTTTTTGGCTGGAATATTCAGAGGAGGAATGGTAAGTTGTAATATATAAAATAAATCATTTTTTATAATATAAAAATTCCAACTTAATTTTTTTTCTCTTAACAGAAAATGTTAAATTCAGTGGGTTCAACAATAGTGAAAGGAGTTCATCATGTTTTTTCAAATAATGATGATAATGACGACAATTAATCAACATAAAAAAGATACGAGAAAAGTAAAAAATATATACTTAATACAAATATGTTCATATGTCTTATAGTTTGTCTTATAGTAACAAATAAATTTATGTAATTATTTTTTTTTTCAGACTTGAAAAAAACATAATACAAATTCTTCAAAATAATAATTAATTAATCATTTGTATTTAAAAATGGTGTATTTTTTAAAATTCAGTAAAGAATTATAACAACAAAATATCTTTTTAATTTCTTGCTTCTTATAAATTATATTCGCCTATATCTAATTTCTGAAACATTTACACGGAGAGAAAAAAAGGCTATGATAACCGGAGACCCAAGCAGTAACTGCCCGAGTGAACAAAGCAGGTAGCATTAAAGCTATCACAATTTGGGTCTCAAGCAGTATTTGCCTGGCATTTCTATAAATAAAGAAATGGTAAAATAGAGTAACGAGTACAGTAACTGACACTTTCAGTCAAACACTTCTGTTTTTCATAATTAAAACGTATTTATTTAAAACTTTTGTTTAAAATATATAAGAAAAAAATTAGGTTTTCAAATTTAAAATTCTATGTGTAAAATTATAAATTGTATATGTTATTGAAATTAATGAATTTTAGTTTATTAATAGCTTAAAATATATTTTAATAATAGTAATACTGTTAGTGTGTTAGCCACTGTGCTAATGCAGCTTGCTTAGCCAGGCAAATACTGCTTGGAAACCAAGTTGTGTTAGCTTTAATGCTACTGGTTTGTTCACTCAGGCAGGCATAAAAAAAAATTATTTTAAAAATTTATCACTTGAATTGACAAGACCATGGTCTATCACTTTTAAGCTGCAATTAATGTTAATATTATTATTATGATAAAATAATTAATTACATAACTTAAACTAAACTACAATTAGATTAAATATTGAAAACGAACAAGACTTCGTTTGTAAACTGCTGACAGTTCAATGGACAATCAGTAGTGGACATAAAATATGAGTCAAAGATTCTTCTTCGGCATCACAAAATCTGCACCTAGGTGAGACGGTTCTACCTATTTTGTGCTGATGATAGTTTAGGAGGCCACGTCCTGTGAGCAGCCTGATTTCTGGGATCTTCAGTATAGAGGCTTGGAGTTTTGTGTTTTCCCCTAGCTCTCCATTTCCTCTGTGCTTGAAGTCTACACATTGTGAGAGCAGTCTTCTTAACCGTTAAAATGTGTAGAGGTTCTTCTGCCAGCAAGAAACCCAATGCAGAAGTTGGCGTGGTTCTCATTGCGCCAGTAATCCCTCTTAACACCATTGCCTGTAGTTGTTCACCGTTTTTAACTGGCTTCTAATCCACCAAACAACTGATGCATGCAGAAACCTTGGCAACAGGACAATTGCCCTTCTGCAAACCAAAAAAGTAGTGCAAAACTGTCAATTCTAAGACTGTATCTAACGAGAGACCTCTTACAATAATTAGATAGTCATCCGCATAGCTTTGCGTATAAAATCCCTGGCTATTGAGTTCTACTAATAACTCATTTGCTACTAAGCTCCGCAATAGAGGAGATAAAACCCTGCCTTGTGGGCAACCGTAGGAAATTAGGCCATTTATTTTGGCCTCTCCATACTCTGCTTCCAGGGCTCTATTATGGAGCATACCTTTAATCCACCTAATCAATGAATCCGGTATGCCACATCTTCTAGCCGCATTGCATATTGCTTGACTACAGGTGTTAGGGAAAGCAACACTATATCTAGAAAAGTGCCCACCGCATAACCCCCTGAGTCTAACTCTTCCTCTATTCTACTGATTGCTGAATGAAGGGCTGTTTCTACAGAACAGCCTGCTCTATGCGCATGCTGTCCTGGATGTAGAGGTTGATTTATCAGACATTCCTGTCTGATAAAAGTATCGATTATTTTCTCCAACGTCTTAAGGATGAAGAAGGTTAAATTAATTTGTCTGAAGTCTTTGGCTGTTGTATAACCAGCAAGCCCGGCCTTCGCAATAAACAATACCCTAGTCATTTTCCATGCCTCAGGAGTGTAACCTAGAGCTATACTTGCTCTCATAATTTTAACCAAGGGTAAACGAACATATCGCAATCCTTTTTGTAAGAGAACTGGTTATATGCCGTCTCCAGCCGGATGCTCGAGCATTGTCTATCTCTTTTTTATAGGAATTACGAGCGTTATGGCACAATGCCTATGACAGTTGATTCCTATTTCTCTTTGCTTTATGAAGTAACTTTCTCACCGTACCCCTAAGACTTTTCAACTCATCATTCAACCAAGTAGTTTTCCTGCTAGTTTCAAGTCTTTTTGGGTTACAGTTTCTCTCAAAAGTGGAAATAATTGAATCCTGCAGAAAATTTGCTGCAAGTTCCAACTCATCTTCTGTACCCTAACTAGTAGAAAAGCATTCCATTGAGTCCCTAAGGGCTTCAAAATATGAAGCCCAATTGGTACTTCTAGGATTACGACCCCACTTATATTCACAAGCAGCTGACTCTATTCTGAACGTTATAAATCTGTGGTCTGAAAGTGAGTCTTCATCCGACACTTTCCAATCCTGCACTTCCCTGATCGTTTCCCTGATTAAGGAAATCTAGGTCTAAATCAACTAGAAAATGCAGAAGTTTTACACCTTTATCATTGATGTCCGTACTACCGCAAATAACATGGTGTGCATTGGCATCACAACCCAGAATCAGAAAAAGTCCCTCCCGATGACAGTACTCCGCCAGTCTTATCACCTCGTCCGGTGGTGAGGGTTCATTTTCTGATCCCAGAAAGTGACCAGAGGTAGGAATCAACTCTTTGTTACTTACATTTTTATCTCGATACATTACTTTTATAACTGCCAGATCTCAACTAGTTAACTCTAAAATAGAAGAAATGCATTAACTCCCTTATAGGCGATGCACAACCTGGTAGCCAATTCCTGTAGTGAACACACTAACTCCCCACAGTTACTCAGTCCTCTAATCTTACCCTTGTAAACCCAAGGTTCTTGAATAAATGCAATAGCTGTTTGCATCGCTGTCAAGCTCTTGGATAGAATCGCCGTTGCGCTTTTACAGTGATGCAAGTTAATCTGCGAAAAAAACGTAATACTTAATGAAATGAAATGTCGTTTGGTATTTACATAAAGGTTTGCTGTCCCTAACTAGCTAGTAGGTCGATTTTATCCAAAGTTTTGAAAATTCATTATTTTAAGTGGAGCTAAAGTTTACAGGTAATAAAAATACACAACAAAAGAATAATTATTATTATACTTTTAAGTTCAATAATCGCAATTTTTTATGTGATTCAAGTGAAAATGTTATTTTTTAACATGATAACACAAGTTATCAGTATAAATAAATAATAACATTGAGTAAAATCATTGTAAAATCACAATTATATAAACTCCGGCTTCACAAAAAGAAAATTGGAGAAAAGATTTAAAACCGATTTTTGTTAAAATTATTTAATAGAGACGATTTTTATTACTTTGCCTTTTGGGAAATCGTTAGATTATATTTTATTCGTGATTCTTGTGTTATTTCCTTCAAATTAAAAAAATTTAACCACGCTCGAGAATGTCAAGACAACGTTTTTTTCCAAATTTGTAACTCTCCCACTCCCTTACTTTACGCTCAAGTCGTAAGATTTTTTAAATGTACATTTTTTAGCTAGTAATTAACCCACCTTACCTTAATCTGACGCGCTGCAATATCTCCAACCATCGTTTTTTTTACTAATTTGATGGACTATCCTAGACGCACGTCTTGATAAAATTCCAATACTTGGAAGAGGTACTCAACCACATGCAAGGTATCTTCCCCTGTGTTCATCTGCCGCGCTCGAGTTAATAAAAAAAATACATTGGGCTCCTTCACTATTAGCAATAGCCATTTATTCGAGGAAAAAATAACATGTAATCTGCTAGCGTTTCTTCACAAGTGCTGGTCAACGACAGAGAATATGTGATAAGGTTTCTAATTCCTCTCCAGATTTTGGATCTTCAGTAAAACTTATTTTATGTCTGTGATAGCATAAGTTTCTGTAATCGGTTTAAAGGCCTGTTACGGATTTCGCATCTTTCCTATTGAGTCTGCGGAATTTCGCTGCTCTTTTTAGGTCTATATTATTTCTAATGAGTGCCTCAGCTTGTCTACAACCTGTAGTTGCCTGATAATTTTTCTGATGCTCTGTATCTCGCCACCGCTTTCGAGACTACACATTTGTCAGAGACACTAATTATAGGCAGAGGTCTGATAAATTGTTCTTTAGCTCCTATTTTGGCTAGTTTATCCGCTATGTTGTTATATTTAATTCCACTGTGTCCTGGAACCCTAGGTGGGTAACGCGGTTTCAGCTAGTCTGTCGAGTGCCTTATGGCGTCCTTCAAACAACTGTGATGCAGTTACATAACGTTTCAAGGAATAAATAGCTGCCTTGCTTTCCAAAATAATATAGATATTTTTATGTCTGCAGCATTCTAGGACCTCAGTAGTCTGAGCCTCGACACGTGTGCTGGTTCCCGTACTTCTCCAGTCAATTTAAGTCAAGATTTAATTGGCATTGAGTAAGCAAAACACTTTTCAGCCACTGAGGAATTTAAGTTTTACAAAAATATCCCTTTCCATATTAACCGAGTTCATTTAGATGCGTTAACTAAAAATAAATTTATTGATTTTTTCCTTTGAAATAGTGAGAAAGAAGTATAGTAAATATAGTGGTAAAATTCTGTTTAAATAAAGAAGAAAAGTAACAATATAAATTATTTTTCTTTTTTATTTTTTTAAACCAGGCATTAAAAAGAGTAAATAAGCGAGTAAATAAGTATATTTCAAAAAGCTATCAATAACAGTCAATAATTTAAAATTAATGTTGTTTAACATATTGTCTTGAAAATTGACTAATAGAGTCTAAAAAATTCTATTGCACTGACAACAGGATTTTTTCAGTGTAACATTTAATATAACTTTTAATATATTAGTGCTCACTTATTGAAGGAATTAAATTTGGAAAGAAATTTCTTTAAAAGAGTTAGACAACTATTTTATTTACTTTGGAAAATTAAATTGAGAATGAAAAACGTAGATAGTGAAATATAAAATCAATACTCGATATCCATCTAATATGAAAATAATAATATTGATCGTGAGTCTAGAATTAATTATCCTAAACAGTTTGATAACTTTAGGTAGAAATACAAACTGGATCGATGGTTTCGTCAAAAACGTTAAAATCGATCAACGGATTAG